CCCCCCCCAACCACCCCCCCCCCCCCCGGTGCCACCCTCTGGATCCCCCTTTCATGTGCTCCCACACCTCCGGTTTGTGTCTTTTCACCTGGCAGGGAGTGCGGCAGAGTTCTCCACCACTGTGCCAGGATTTCTGGCTTCATTAGGTTTGACTTCCTGTCGATATCTGATTGCATCTTAATCAAGGAGATAAAGACTCTGAACAGCAGGAAACTAAACTTCACCTCCATTGGATTTTTAGCCAGTGCAGTCACTAGGACTGTTTTACTTATTAATCTAAGTGTAACCAATAGAACTTATGGTGAAGTATGAAAAAACACTTCTACAAATACAATAGAAACATAGGTGATGATATTGAGATAATAAAAAATCAATGAGTGGGATATATGTCACACAGGCGTCATTTGTAATCTCAAGTGTGTTTCCTAATTGACGATATCGATTAACTGCCTGCGAGCCTTTCTCTCAACTGCCAATAAAGCAGGGGAATGTGAAGAGAGGATGGAGGAGCGAGTGGGGGCTGAGAGGCTGCTCCACAGTTCAGATGAGTGACACAGAAACACAGGGTAATAGAGAGGTCAGAGGTGAGAAGTAAAGCGTGTGTCTGTGTGTGTTACCTTTGTCGCAGCCGTTCATGCCCATTTTGCTTCCATCTGGACACACGTTGCACTTCATGCCCTTCGCCCCTGTCTTGCAGGAACACAGACCAGACATCTGCTCACAGTCGTCCCGGACCGAGCCGTTGGCGTCACAGTTACACGCTGTTACAAACGAAGAAATGAAAAGTGTGAGGAGGGAAAAATGAATGCATGAAACAAAATTAGCAATTCAACAGTGTGACAGGAAGAGGGATTAGAGTTTGGTTTCTGTAGTGTACAAAGAGCACCGGAGGCGAACGTAGCCTCTGAACCCAGTTTTGCCTACATTATCATTTTTTATAGTCAGGGATTTAAAAAAGGTTCATGCACCCTAGAGGCCATTGAGTGAGGAGACAAAGAGGGAGGAGGTGAGGAAGGAGGAGAGGGGGAGTTGTGGAGCGTTCAGATGAAACTCAAGAAAACAACCTGAAGAAAAAACCTACTTTTAAGAGTCAGTGTTATGTGATGTGTTTCTTTTTTAGCCTGTCTCCAGCTGAACCTGGTATTACTGTGCTGATGCCTGCTGAGTGTGTGTAAACCTTGTTAAGGTCAGGCCACGGGTGAGGCTCCTACAGGCTTCCTGCTGTCTGCTGAAAATACCTCACGGCTTCGCAGGCGAATGTCCTGTGATACCTCAGCAGCAGGGTACGAGGTGGTCACCACATTGCATTACATCGAGACAAAAAAGGGGCCGTGACCCCAGTGTTCACCTGAATACAAATGAACACTATCTATTCAGTGCAGTACAATTTTTGAGAGGCTAAAACATGAAATTATATTTGAAATGGTAGATAATTATATCATTTTACAATTTAATCCATTTTTAAGAATATTTTTACAAGATAACGTCTTTACCCACGGGTCTTTAAGTAAAATTACCAGGAGTCTGATAAGCTTCCAGTATGGAAACGGCGGGTAACGCAACCAAAACAAAATCCCAGAACGTCTTGGATGATTCGGCCACTCATGGGACAGTGAAGGCATCACTGGTATTTGTTTTAACTGGAAATGTAAAAATTACTGCAATAATCGGTTTTATATGTGGAGATAAATTATATAAGAAATCTCAATGAATGACACAGACTCTGTATCCAATAATTCAACCGTTGATCTACTTATCTTTGCTCTAATACTCAGATGATAGACATGTTATTTACACGCATTGTGGGAAAGACTTTTTGTTTCACAAAGCAGATTTAAAACACCACCCCAACTGTCTTCGTGCATTTGAGGAGCCTTCAACTTTGTATGTAAGATTAGCTGACAGCTTGACTGACACAACTGTCAAATGGATTGTAAGAGTGATTAATATTGACAACAGCATCCTGATGTATTGAAAGAAACTCTCAACTTGTTTTGAATGCCATGACCAACAGTAATGATAAAAATACACAGAATCACTGAAGCATAGTTTTCGTGACTTTTTTTCACATTAATAATCCCATAATTTTCATTGGTCAGAAATAAAAACAGGTGACACAGATACATCTACCTGCTTTTTAGAAATATTGCATTTCCTGCATCAATCATGATGATCATGCTTAATTATGATAACAGTTAATCATGATTAATCATGACAATTATTCATGGTTAGTTGCAATCCACACCTTCTAATTAGGTAGTTTAGAAAAATGAATTGTTTGACAGCACTATTTTCAACTAATTTAAAGCAAACTGAAAATTCACAACAACAGGTTGAAGACAATTGTTGAATTTAAACAAACACAAATCCAGGATTTCTTACGTGTGCAGCCGCTCATGTTCTCCGTCACAATGCCCCTGAAGTTCCAGAATCCCGGCTCACAGCGGTCACACTTCTGCCCCCCGACACCTGGTTTACAGGAGCACTGGCCAGTGGCTGGGTCACACGTTCCTTTGTAGGATCCATAGCTGTTACACTGGCAGGTACCTGAGGAGAACCAACAACATTTCATAATCATCAACTTTTACTCTAAATCCCATCATTTTACAAACTTGCAACAACTGAAACTTGTTCACTCAGGTTATTTTCTCTTTTAGATTTATGCCAGATGCAAATGCCGGCCGTGGGAACATTCCACAAAAGCTGGATAAAGTGGGCTTAGGTGAGATTTTCCTGCACTAACTCTCAGCATGTCATTCTTTGTTTACTTGAGTTATTTAGAACCAAACTTTTTTCCTCAAAGGGCCAAATTAAAACTTCAGCGTGGGCCAGGACGCAGAATACTTCTACAGAAATGTTGTTTTAAGTTTTGTTTTATACTGTTTACATTATGAATCAACTTTATAAGTTATGTAACTCGACCTAAAATCCCTTATTCATCTCATCTGTTACTGATTTTTCCCAGATTTCCCAGTTGTTTGCTAAATTGAGGCAAATCTGTGATTGGTTGGTTAATAGGACAAGTTAGCTTTTTTGGCTAATAGCTTCTTTTACCATATTTTGTAAAATCTTTTTTAAATAAAGCTTTGCCAAAATGACATTAAGACAAAATTTGACCATTTCTGAGCTGGCTTTCATATGTTTATGTTGTGAATTGTAATTAATGTTAATTTTAAAGTTTATAGTAAGCTGTTTATAGTAAGCTGTTTCTATATTTATGTTTACATTGATATGACCTTAATTATTTCTAGACTAATTAAAAAATGTTAGCATCCATTATTTTCTGTTGCTTTCTAACTCTGTGTTTGTACTTTTAATTTTCTTTACATTTTACATTTAAATATTAAATTGACATTATTGTAATTTAATTTTTTTTTTACTGTTACTTTCTTTGCAAAGAACTATCCAACTATTAGCTAATTTGGCTACAAATGGCCATTATTTAGCCATGTAGCTTTACCCCCTTGAGATTTGTCAAACACTTTAAACCCTGATATTGAACTTCAGGCATTTTGAAGATCTTCAGGAGACACATAAAGATGAAATATTCACAAATACATAACACAGAAGCTTTTCATCTTTTTGTTCACACTGCAGCTCTAAGCTAACAGCTAAAAGCAACATTGTCTTTACCAGCCGTGTGCCATCATCCAGCTAGGTTCACTTAATATAATGGTAATTATAAGTATAATGGCTGCTGATGAAACTCTGGACTCCACTTTTCAAGGTAACTGTCAGTCCTGCTGATGAAGCAGCCTAATCACAGGTTGGGTTTTTATTTATTCTTTTGTTCAGGGTCTAATTCATCAAGCTCAGGCTAACAGGAGGCAAAAGGTCAGGGCAGGACACAGAGAGAGAACTTACTCGGACATCCAGCCATTTCGACTCCTAAGGCAGCTGTCGTGTTGTCAGAGCAGCAGCCGTACACAGACAGACTGCAGTGCTGGGGTGCTGTCAGCTCTGGAGGAGATGTGGCTGAAATCACTGATGAAGCAGGAACAGGAGAGAGGAGGAGAGGAGGAGAGAAAAGGAGAAGAACACCCAGCATTTGAGCAGGATTAGACAGCACAATCTCCCAGCAACATGTAACTTTTTTGCCAACAATGAAGTTGAGCTTTAAGGGGGCAGAGGTGGAGACGCTGGCAGCCGGTTTGGAGATAACAATTCTATTTCAACTTCCTTCACAATAACTGAAAATCAGGGGGAAACGACGCTATTAGCTCCAGTGAAAACAAACAATGGCGTTGCTGGTGAACGTGCGGTCTGACATTTAGCACGTACTAGGAGGCATGTTCTCCTCATTTGTTCCTGTCTAATATGTTGGAATTGTGTGCCTGCCCTACAACCCTTCTGAAAGACACAAACAAATAAAGAAATCAATAAAATAAAGTCTGCAGTATTTTATGAGGGAATGTGCCAGGCAGTGCACTACGGAGACCTCCATTGTCAGAGGATGTGCTAACCTTCAGACTGCAGCGTGACAGCTCTGAATACAGAAGCACCTCCATTCAACAAAACAAAAACAAATGTATTCCCAGCACCTGTTGTTTGTCCTGAAATTGGACGAGAATGAGAGAGACAATATGGTAAGAGGAACAGAGGGCATCTGAGTCTCACAGTTCACATTCTCTGCATACACTGGGCAGAAAAGTTTAAGTTTCTGAGACAGACAGCAGAAATCTTTGCCTCTCTTTTTTCTCTGTCTCCTTCCATTTCCCTTCCGATCTCTTTTTCTGGTCTTGCTCATTTGGAGTCTGGGGGCTGGAGATACAGGGGCCATAAATCACAATGTTACTGGTGTGGATATGAGCCTCCTCAGCCTAATGCTGATGACTCCACTCTCTGCTTTCCCACTCCAGAGATGGTATTTGGACACAGTTCATTTAACTTGCCACTTTCCTGCACTGCGTTCAGCTCTCTGTACTGAGCCTATTAGGACAAGGAGAACTTTTAATTTCATATGTTCTGCCACACTTCAAGGGTTCTTTTCCTCTTCAGTGACCATTGTCCAGCACAGTGCTGCTCATTGTGATGTGCAATATTGCCCTCACAGTTTTAGAGGTTTTTCTTTTCTGTGGTGATGGTTACTAAGGACTTTTTTACATTAAACATCTGCTCATGCCAGTTTCTCTAGTGAACTAATGAGAGCGCAGTTATCTCAGAGCTGGATTACATCCCAAAAACAAATAAAAATAAATCTGTATAAGGTAACCAACTCAAACCCTCATTTATCAGGCAAAAGAACAAAGAAAGGATTTCAAGTGGTTTTACTGCCAAACTTTTTTCTGTTTTTTCACACAAAAAAATCCATTTAAAATCTATTGTGTGCAACACAGTACGAGGTTCATACAAGGTTGATTCTGGGACATTCCTCAATTAGCATGTTAACTAGTTTGGGTACCGAGGTTAGTTATAGAAGGAGCATCTGCCAAAGCATGCTGAATGTGGCGGAGACAATTAAAAATAATGTTTATCAGTTTAGGGTTGGGTCTTGTCAATTAAAAACAACACATATTAATGTGTGAAAAGAAATCAGCAGAATCTGCTGCTGCTGAATGCACATGACCTTCCATTTCTGCTTTAAAATGCCCCTTCAGACACTGTCGTGCAAAGAGGAAGCCATGCACCATTCTTCGTGCTGAAAAACATCACGATACATGACGACAGAGGAGACCATAGAAACAAAGTTTAACCTGTGGTAACGTTGCCCCTGTGTCTATGTGAATATGCCTTTTTGACCTTTTGCCTGATTTACACAATCCACTATCAAATAAGGATCTTAGTTATAACTGCTGTGTTGCCAGAGCAACAACTTTTCCAAAATAGCAGTTTCCATTTCTCTGGATGTACACAACTCCCCTGACCCAGATATGAGTTTGCAGGGAGCTATAGAAGATGGTTTCAACGCTATTAGAAGCCAACCTTGCACATAAGCATGCAGCAGATGGAACCGTGGACATCAAATGTAAAAGTCTCTTTTTCTAAAATCCAAACCTCTCATGGTTTCTTTAGTGTTTTCTCGTTGGCGAGAGGTAACATTTTTTGATAAGTTTCAAGAGTGGAGGTCAAATAAAGTTTTTCCTTACACAGCTTATGTGGGAAGTAGTAAAAAAAAAATCCCTAACACCCCTAGGAAGAAATAACCAATGGGAGAGGAGAGTCTAGAGGTCTCGTAGCCATAGGGGGCTTTTCAAAAAAAAGATCGATTATTCATGGATGGTAGAGAAGCGTGACAGTCAGTGCCCAAGGAGGCCAGCTCGGAATCTGCAGGGATGTGTGTGGACACAGCGGCAGCTCTCTCATTCTCACTAACTCCATCCTCCTCTCTTTCAGACCCACAGGGAATCAAACAGGATAGAATGATCACACCAAATCCCTTAAGTGCTTTTTGCTCTGCGCTCCAGCCTGAGCTGGAATCAGTGGCGAAAGCTCCAGAGGAGAAAAAAAGGTAACCTTCGCTACTCAAACACTGATCTGACTACCGTTCTGGCTGCTGAGATGATGTTCATTTACATGCAGAGAGTGTTTTTGACTTTCCTTTTTTTAAAGTTAGTGGTGTCCTGAGGGTTAGGAAACAACCTTGTTAGTACAACTTTAATGGTTTAGAATTTTTGAATGTCTGGTAAGGAGGAGCCAATGGTTATGTTTATAAGCTAAGTCAATACACTTTAACACAACAACTCCAGTGTGGTTACACCGCAGAGACACACACAGCTGTGGGACTCCTATAGACATTAGCAGGCTATTATCACCCCATCAGTGGATGAAATGGTTGGAGAAAATGCAATGTCAATGATGATGAATCTCAGTGATGTGACCATGCTTTTCATGCAATGGCATTACAGTAACTGGGCACTGTGCATAATGTACCGACCTGCACATGGTCCCTGATTCTGAATCAACAAGTGATCCTGTTTCTCACATCTGGCCTTCTTCAGCTCACACTCGTTGCTGTAGTTCTTTCCATCTGAACCACAAACCTGAAAAGGAAATACAGGAAGGTGACTTTATAGCAGTTCAATTTTACTATCAGCAGACAAATGCACCACAGCTGACAGCAGCGCTGTGAAAAAGTGGTGTTCCTAGTTTCATTTTTTTTTTCTCTGTCAAATGGTGTTCTGATATTCAACAACTCTTTTATTGTGCCAAAAATCAATAAAGTAAAAATATACCACGGGGGGCTTCGGCACAACATGTGAAACTTTTCACTATACTGTAATTATGCTGCATACAAATTAACTGTATTTTTGCAGTGTAAAAGAAAGGCTTTTTTGTTTTATTGGTAATGTAATCATAGCCAAGTGACACAACATTGCAGATAGAACAACAGATAGAATTCCATTGTTCTTCAACACAGAAAAAGTTGTTAGAGCAAATGCAATTATCCTAGGAATACAAAGAGAATGTCAAAATAACAATAGCAGAAAATGAGTAAATGTGGGCACAGGGGCTATTATTTAGAAATTGTGTGTGTTTGCAGTCTACCTATACTGTGATTTAGACTAAAGTTTACCTGTTTTTGTGCTTGTCTTTATGAGCATCCTGTGTGTTTATATACTGAAAATTTCAATTTGAAATTAACTTACCGGTACATACTTTTAGCTTAGCCTTTGGGTATCAACAAAAGCAAACCTAGGAAAAAGCTAGACTGAAAACTGCTTGAAACAGCTACAAAAGCTATCTGTATGACAACTTGAAACTGTTGGTGGTATTTACTACACTGTGCCATACAGTAGATCGTATATTAACATGGATTTAGCCTTCTGGTTGCTATTAATTAATTATAATTATGAAAAGTTATAAAAACTTGTTATAAAAACCTGAACTGTCATGATTTCCTTATAGACCAGTCTGTTTTCCAGTCTTCTGCACCTTACACTGACTGACAGCTACAGATGGCCATGTCATATTTCCTATGATTGATCCTTGGATCTGGCCTGTTTTGTTCTTCTTGGGCAACATTTTGCACTGATGGCACTTGTGTGAAGTTTGAAGTCATACCACGCTGTGAGGAACACTTTGACAGCTGAAATCACAAACGCAGCGATCCTCCTCTGCATCTTCATCCCACGAGCCTCCAAAGAGACGACAGCGGTCCTGCTCGCAGCTCTCCGACCCGGAGCCTGAACCTCCTGAGCCACAGTCTGCAATAGAAACCATAAATGCACATAAAAAGACATTAATAAAACATTTCAGCCCACAAGGGAGATGCCCCCTGATCAGCACAACAGATGCAAAGTGTTCCAGTCGCACTTCTCTGTAAGTTAAAGCAATGATTATACACCAAGAGCATTACAAAGTTTAGATCATTTACATTCCTCTCACGCTGGTTGCAAAGAGGAAAATAAAGGCACTGCTGGTAGAACAAGATAATGACCCACTGTAGTGAGCGCAGGAGACTGACTAAATAAATTAGGTACAACATGTCTGCACCACCAGAGAGGCATCCTTTTCATCTCAATTAAATCAGAGATTGGGGGGTGAGGACTGTTTAAGGGTGCTTGCTCCCTGATATGAGAATTGATCTAATTGCTAGGAGTTTAGTTGAATATTATCGTCTATTATCCAGTAAAAATGAAGTTGGATTTGAAAAGGTTCGTGTTCAACAGGTAGATAACAATACTTGCATCATGACCAGAACAATACATACGTGGAACACCCTGTGATCACTGTTCCACATGATGTGCCGTGAGAGATCTCTTTGTTTTTTGAGATGTCTTTGTTCATCTTTATGATATTGACAGGCAGACAATAAATATTTCTCAAATAGGTTTCAGCAGATATATTGTTATTTCAGATCTTTATGTGTCTCTCTTCAATTCCTGCTAAAATGTCAGTCTAAATGTCTAATATCTAACGTCTAAATACCAATCGTACCCTTATCAACACACGTAGTCAAACCATTACATATGACACGGATGCCACCAGGACAAAATGAATCACAAGACATATCTATTTATTACGTCTTATTTTGCTTAGTACTTGTAATATTACTTCCTGAAAAGTAAAACATTTTGCGCTTGTTACTGGGTAAAATAATATTAAAGTAATAAATGAAGATGTTGGGGTTATGGTTAATGGAAAGCCCTTGAGGGCTGTGCTGAGAAGAGCTTAAAAAATGGAGAGGATTCTTATTTTGATGTTGCAAATTTCATCTTCAGTGAATCTCCTGAGGGAGATTAGGTGAATATCTGTGAAGGCAGGGAATGAACGCAGTCAGCATGAAAGAAAGAGAGTTGGAGGGAAGAGAGCGAGAGCGAGAGAGAGAGAGAAAGAGAGAGAGAGAGAGAGGTGGGAATGGGGGGGTGGAGAGATGAAAGTTTGCAACTGGCAGAAAGTTCATTTGAAATGATTTTGTTATTCAAAAAATGTACTGCAGCCAAAGTAAAAAGCTCTGAGCACTGCTTAAAGGCTGAGAGGCTGAAGAGACATCAGGTAATCAAGGTGTTCCCGCCTCTCTCTGTCTGCTCTGAGGGCTTATTCAACTCCATTGATGCGCTTCGTCTAATGGTGAAATCAATGTCTTGGAGACGGAAGTGCCACTTAGCATAACCCACTTTCTAAAGCAGGTTATGAAGCAGGTCATATTGCAAGGCAGGAGGCTTGGCCAAATCATGCTTTGGTCCCGTTGTAATGGGCTGTGACAGCTCAGACTGGTCGATACAGAGGATGCAGGTGGACTATACAGCTATATATTACATTAAGCACACAACAACAGAGGAGGAGCTCTTTGTACAAGGCCACATTGTCCACAAACATCAGGATCTATTAAAGATTTGCTCCATCTCCATTTTAAAGCACTAACCTCTAAACAACCCTAATCCCTTTGGCCTTAATGTTGTTGTGGCATCTTATCGATCCAGGGCTGCAGTCTGAATTAAACATACCATTTCCTGATGGGGAAATGTGCTTTTTAATTGCTTCAGCTGCACATTGACATTATCTGACATTATCTTTGTTGTGATGTTGTTCTTAAAAAAAGGGACATCGAGTCCTGAACAGAGGAGAAGAAGAAATCAGACCTTGGCTTCTCAGTCGGTCACTTGAGCCTATGTACTGTATTCCAGCTCAGCAAGACACAATAACGGAGAGATGAAGGAGAAGCCAATTCATATTCCACTCAGGCACGCTCACAGAGAGGAGATAAATAAATAAAAGAGGTAAGACATTAGAGTAGAATAAATAAAAGTGAAGGCAGAAGAGAGGTCCTAATTAGCTGCTGCTCTTTCATGTGCCCACCACCCACGCTGCCTGTGAACCTTTAAATGAATACATCCTCAGCTAAGACGGCTGTATCAGCTATTCTCTCTGCACTGCCAATCCGCTCCTTTTTTACTCAATCATGTCAGAAGCCAAGTCTATTTAGCCAAGGGAGCTCCATTAAGGAGGCAGAATTCAATGGCATGGAGGTGAGAGAAAATGAATAGAATAAGAATGATGTTCATAAAAGACACTGGAGAGAAAAGAAATGGTTGCAGGGATTTGACAATGGAAATAATAGAAGAGAAGGAATGATGGAGGAGACGTCAAAGCTGACTGGGAATGTATGGAAGAGTTCGCAGAAGTAGAAGAAGTAGAAGTTGAAGAAGTGGAAAACACCCCACCGCCCCTCGCCCCATCATCACAAAGTTTCTTTTGGAAGTGAAATGTCACTGGAGTATCATAGCGAAAACAAAAGAATTGCTGATGCTCAAAAAGTGGAATAAACAAAGTTATCAAAAACCTTTCAAAGTGTCAGGAACTGAATAAAGAAGAGTTATCTGGAAGTTCAAAAGGATGTGCTGTAGTACACAGAGACACAAAGGTAGAAGACACTGTTGAACTTCTTTGTCCACTCTGGGCTTAAAAACAATACAGTGGAGGAATGAAGATCCAGGAAACAGGAGTGTGAACCACGTCTGTGAAGAGTCTCCTTCAAGTCCAACTGAAGTCCGATAGGGACAGCCTGATGGAAATGAGGCATGTTAGAAGTAGTAGTTGTAGTAGTAGTTGGTCAGAAGAGAAAAAAACAAAGATGACTTGTCTAGAAGATGACATCTGTATCTAGACATAGAACCAAAGAACATTATCTACACAATAGAACAAAGAGGTGGGAGAACAATCTTGAGACAGTCTTGAAATATGTAAAAATAATGCTCCAGTTAGACAACAGCAAAACTGGACCTGGGTCTTTGCTTTGTCTTCACCACGAAAACCACTGAAACAATGCTTCAAAACTGGTGAAGAACTCGGTTAAGAAGGTTGAGGTCAATGATATTGACTGGCCTGCACAAAGCAAGAACTCAATCGCCCTTCATGTGTGGTACTTATCAGAGAAGAACAGATGCCAAGGACGAATCGTCCTCTACTGCAGTCTGAAGACTGTGACTGTGACTGACCGTTCACAACATCTCACAATTGTGTTTCTGTTTACAAAGAAAGTTAAATTCAGAAGCTACATTTTTCCCAGAAAAAAGGTGAAAATATTAAGTATTTTAGTGACAACTCTGGACTTTTCCTTCAACTGTAGGAGACCGACTGAAGCCAGATGATGTTTGTTCAACCAGATTAAAATTTCAGGGTCAGCTGACTCTCTGTCATTATCAGCTGTGCGAATGCGAAGTCAGACATTTGTCATTTCAGACAAATCCATCCTCATTGTCGGCCCGTGCCAGGGCAAAGACGAAAAATGACAACAGTGTTTGTTCAAGGATGGAGAGCCACAGGATTTGCCTTTGTCTTCACTACATCCATCAGTCACTCATGCCACTGGCTGCCGGCAGATGTGACGGTGGGTTTATCCAAATAAGCATTCCCGCAGGATAGAGAGGGATGAATTGTGTGGAGCACTTTGAAAAAAGGCACTGAAAAAAAAGGAAGCTTTGTTTCCTCTATAGAAGGTTACAGGCGCCGTGATGGATGGGGCGTGACGGTAAAATCCGCTGATCTCACTGCCACAGAGCTCCTGTCTCACCCATTCACACACTCGAGTTACTAGTTATTTGATCAGTTGGACGTGAGGAGCAGGACACAGACTGTGCATCCCTGTGTGATCCTGAGCTCATAATCTTGTTTATTAAATGTCTATTCAATTAAAGAAAAAAAGGTCTGGAAGACCCTGTAGGTGATACACTGCTTTCAGTTGCCACTTTGTCAGTGTCAAGAAAAGGAGCTGAGGCCAGGGTCTGCCCAAGTGTGAAATTAAACAGGTGATAAATTTCCCTGTATGGCCAACTGTAGGAACACTGTCATTTTTCATTACTGCTAAATAAAAGGCAGGAGAAAACATTTTCCATTTTTCTGCTCAGGAACACACGGGCTGTGCACGTGACTAATGAGGGCAGTTTTTTTAAGTCCAGTCCACGTAAAGGAATAAATCACGTGTTCTCTTCCAGGCTTATCTTAGATAAGAGGTATGGAGTGGGCAGATGTGAACACCTTAGGAAAAGGTGGGAAGAGGAAAATACAGTCCTTAGTTTTTGCAGATTGACACACAGAGCTGTTTAGAAGAAGTAAGAGTCTTTTTTATGGTACAATTCAAAAGAGATTGTTCCAACAGAATCACATGGCTGCCTCAGTTATTGGCAGAAGCCAAAGCCAAACCTCACAGAGCAAATACATTACTGAGGGAAAGTTTTTTTTTTTTTAATATTACACATAAAAAAAATTAAAATAGTTTTAGGGACATAAAGCTGGTCAAAAACCAATCAAACATTTTCACCTTCTGATTTTTTTAATCTTTAATGGAAAAGAATGTGCTCAAAGATGTTTAGAGTTGCCTGGGGCCAAATTCATGTATTTTCTAATGCTCTGCATCTTTAATCTAAAAAACATGCAAACAAACATTTTCAAATTTTTTTCAAAATTCCAAAAAATATAAGATTGTTGTATAATATTTAGGTTTGTTATTCCCTGGTGCCAACAGGGCTTTTTTTTGCCATGAAATTTTATGCATTTATTTGTTTGTTCTTCTTCTACTTTGGGTCTTTTAAAAATAGTTACCAAATTTCTTTTCCCCGTTAATCTGTCACCATTCTTTTCTTCATCTGTTTAGTTTTGGGTCCAGCATGTTTGACCTCATCGCTTATTTTTCTGTGTCTATTCCAATAGATTTGATAAAACTGACACAACTATGACTCAGGGCGACTTAGTGGTTCCAGTGGTTGCTTCATATGTTAACATTGGAACAGTGGATTCTCCTAACTAATGGAGACAGCACGGAGAAAAGGGTTTTAAATCCTAAACTGTACATAGTTCAGAGTCAGGTAATAGGCTGTAGTCACACAGAGTCTCAGCCGGAAAAACAAGAAGCTGAAATCTGTTCCTTGAAGACCACAGCCCTAGTTTTGACCTGATTTCTGATTGCTTTACATTTCGACAGACTACTGGTGGACAACGCTGCAGTGAACCCTTGATTTCAAAGTGAAGAAAGAGTCCCATCTCTGCCTTATGTGTAAAAGCATCGGTGTCCCTTTTGTTGAGAGGCACAATTTTGATGGAGAAGAGTGCAATATAGAGAGATGCACGAGTGGGTGGGTGGGCAGGCAGCAGTGAAAGAGAAAGAAAAAAAGCTTCTATTGTGTAAGCCTGATAGTTTTCTTTGAATCAAAATGAGCAAGTGACGGAAAAAAGGAAAGGAAGCTTGCAGACAGTGTGAGAGAGTGAAATAGAAAAACTAAGCCATCAGGCACCGCTGGCAGAGCGATGCCTTTGGGTAGGTGGAGGCGAGCGTTTTCCCCCCTGATAACAGACAACAAAAGACAATGAGGACAGTGCGTGTGGATGTATGAGATGGTAAGTTTGAATCATGGGCATACCACTCTCATGTTTCTTCATGCTCCAAATACAAAAAAGGTCACTTGTCTCCTGTCAATGAAATGGTGTTAAATCGACTACAAGAAGCTTTGGCAGCACCGCTCGGCTCCCAGGCCCGGGGCCAATATGACAGACAATGAAAGAGGGAAAAAATGAAAGGAAAGAAACACCGTTGGCCAGCAATCAAGAAGGAAGTGGATTCATCTCATCTCTTTTTCCCTTCTCTATATTCTCTTTCTTCTCCTCTCCTGCCACCCCACCTGCTGGCAGGTGTAATCTGCTCTCCTTCACACCTTGTCAGAGAATGACTTCACCATGACAACCCAAAAGCCAAGGGTGGATCCCCGAGGTGGTAAGCTCGCTGCTTCCCCTGGAGTTGTACCCGAAATGGACCGAGATGATCCAGTTGGGACTCGTGCAGAGATTCAGACTTCATTTATTTGAACGAATACGAACCAGAGGAACAGAAATCAAGGACACTCAAAAGGAGTGATACCTTTAGAGCATAATTAGATTAGGGGGCTTTATGAAGTGCAAAAAATAAATCCTCTAATGTAAGCTGGTGATAAATAACTGTGACAACAGCCTCCTCACAAAAAACTAGTGAAATTTCTGAGTCCATAAAGACTTGGGCCGAGCGTTACATGTGAAACCTTCTGTTCCACTGAGACTTTTCCTGTGTTTACATGAAACAATGTGTTTTTTTTTTCTCACACCCAAACCCTTTGCAAACTCAAACAGAACAATCTAGAACAGTATCAGGAACAGTATTTGAAAAGGTGTGCGACTTTACCACTCCTCTCAATAAAATGGTATGGCCAACTCAGAAATCCCAATTATTTCCAAACAAAGTGTTTGACCCCTTTGGTTTAACCACTAGAGAAGAAGGTAGTTATAGCCACCAATTAAATAGTTTAATTATTTTTAAAAAAACATTTTTGAAATATAAAATAAAAAAAATCTACATTTTATTATTGTTATAAATGCAATGACTTCAGTGCTAAACTTGGTGGTTTATAAACATGTCAAAATAGTGTGAAATTAAAGTTCTGTAAATAAGAGATACAGAAATTAGGTGAAGGCATCACGTCCTCTCTGCCCCTCCTGCTGTGATTGGATGCCGACTTCTACACATCAGTCAGTTTCAGTTCTTATATTTAATGGACAATGGCTCATCTGTGCACTTAACACAGCTCTATAATTTTAACAGCCAGGGGCAATCGTAACAACAGTTTTCTTTCAATCAGCCAGAGCTTGTTTCAGGTCATTTTCCCCACTGTGGCCTTTAATGTTACTTTTAATTCATATTTTCTTGTTGCGGTTGCCTGTCGGCCTCCTGCCGACAACATATGCAGTCATTTGAAATTTCCCCAGAATGACTGAATGCTGTTCTGCAGGTCAGCTGGAAGATAATGAAGATAATTACACCATTTCAACGGCCAACTGGATAAAAAGAAAATGACTGCATCCCAAACTCCATTTCTTACCTTCATCACAGCTGCCGGCCTTCGCCACGTCAATTCTCTTCTTATGCATGCAGGACGACAGGCGGAGTTCGCACTTGTTGTCGTAGGTGATGCCGTCAGTGCCACACACTGGCGAGAAGGCCTCGCCTGAACACTGTGGGCACTCACACTTATCCCTGACACACCGAGTGCCCCAGGCACAAACAGTACTGCCACATGTTTCTGTAGCACACACACAGAAGAGGCAGCAGTCAGATCACAAGAGGTGAAAGAACAAATATATTCATGAAGCTGTTTCAGTGGATTTAATTCACACCACCACTTAAAATGCATCCCTCGTGTAGATATTTAAATGAGATCTCTTTCCACCTGTCCAGACTGTTTTGGTGACAAATACATGTTATTGTCTTTTAACAGCCTCAGTTTGACAAGCTTGCTGACCTGTGACCTCTCTCCCTCCTGCTCTAAGAGTGTCATTGATGTTGATATCCCAATTTCATTTAAAACCCGAACAGATTCATAGATCATCAATAATCCCTTTTTTGATGCAGAGCAATTGAAATTCTTCACATGGTGATGATGCGATTAGGTTTAAGGTGTTAAAAACAACATAAGAATCACAAATGCGTCACTTACTGCACTCTCCTTGGCTGACCACCCGCAGGTCCATCTGTTCTTTGCAGGCTCGTACATGCAGCTCACACTCACTGTTGTAGGTGGTGCCGTCGCTGCCACACACAGGCTGATGGGACTCCACGCACTCTGACGCACACACACACTGACCGCTCTGAGCGTCGCAGATTGCTCCAAAAGAGCAGTTGCCACAAGACTCATCTAGAAAGAGATGAGACAGAAGGTGAGGTTTCTTGTTGACTCTGAGTCTCTGTGCATGTTCAGGGTTGATAATTTTTTTTTTTTTTTTTTTAAATGAGTCGCTCCCAGCAAACGTGTCCCTGCTAAATGGTGTGGGTGGAATGTGTCTGTTTGTTCCATGACAAACTCATATGTGGTATATGACCAATTTGTTGTCGACACATTTCGCTCCATCACACCATTTGTACCAACGTACTCCATGTAATGTGGTGGTCACAGTGACATCAGTTAATGGTGAGGAAGGGTCGGATCTGTTGATTGCCATCCTTGGTAATGACTCACTGTATACGTCAGTTATGAAACAAAAAAAGGCAGTTTTTAATTATCCAGATCATGGATGTTGTTATTCAAATGTGTCTTTGATATATTAAAAAGATGGTTTTGTTTTCAGAAGAAATGAGCCATATTAAAAGGAAAGAAGGAAAGTGAACTACTTGTCATTGTGACACACCACACCACTGCACACACAACGAAATGTGACCTCTGCTTTTAACCCATCACCAAAGTGAACAGGGGCAGCTTAAGCAGACAAGGAGCAGTGGGTGGGAACAGTGCCCTGCTGTACTTGGCAGCTCGTGGACTCAAACCTCAAACCCTCTGGACTTCCTTAACCACCAAGCCACCACTTTCCCCGGATTCAGATTCAGATGATAGTATCAATGGTCACTTAGTTTCTGTTATAAATCCATCACTAGTCTAAGAGACAAGATTATACAAAAATATTCATATTATTGCTAAAAACATTGCAAAGACAAGTGCACCAGACTGATGAAATAAGGCCATTCAAACTGTGTTCATGGCACACCCTGCAGGACAATAAGGGAGAGACAAAGAGATTTACATTTTCTGTATAACTGTCATCATATTTTGCTTTACCAATCATATTTTTGGACATATTAACACTAACCTCTTTTACCATATGAGTCAATATGGATAATTATTGTGACAGGTAGCAAAAGTACACATTAAGAAAAAATACCAGATGTTCCAACAACTATTGTTCTTTTACCAGAACCAGAGCAGAACCTGCACCCCTGTTACTCTGCTCCTTTTTAAATTTTTTATTAGTGTTTCACTCTTTGACCGCGGGTTATGAATAGTTTTACCCATTTTGGACCACTGTTGATTAGCAGGTGCTGCTTTTAAAATCCTGGGTACCATGAATAAAAATCCCAGCATCTTCATGTCTCCTTCCATCTCCAGCTGATTTTTCTGTCTTTAAGTCCCCTTTGATCAGATGAAATTGATTCGAAACACTCTGCAAACCCCGTGAAACACTGCACATGCCTATTAAAAGGTTCCACAGCTGACATGCATGTAGGGGCTGAAAAACAAGCCCTGGAATCCACCACAGAGAATTCTCCCTCCACAGATCAGAGAAATAGGACAAAAAACAACGCTGGAGCGTAGAAACTTCCCTGGGGCAGAATCAGAACCCATCACTGCAGTAACCACCCAAAAACTCCCCTTTTTTCCATAGCTGAAACTGTATTACTGAACAAGAAGAGATTTTCTGCTGCCAGAAGGACAAGTATCTGTGCAGCACTCCATCAATCAGAAGTTTATGAGAGTTTTGTGAGCACCCAAACTACTCCTGAGAACAACCGTCACGTCACGACAGTAAAGTGGTAGTTTGCCCAACAACATTCAAAGGACCCTGAAAGCATAGAGAAAAAATATTGTATGGTCTGATGAGATGAGAAAATACTCAGCAGCCCAAATACAAATGGATGTCTGTGGTTACTAGGAGCACAAGACGGAGCGCAAGATGTTACTAAAATAAAATAAAGAGATTCATGAAGTTGCTCTGTATTTTTGTATATTTTTACTCTCAGGAATTTGATTTCCCCCATATTGTGGTGTCCGGTTCTTTAATTTGGTGAGCCGTAGTTTGGTACATATGGCATTCTACTACAGCAGAGTCTGTCTGAAGGCAGACACACAATTTTAAGAGCAGTTTCTGTGTGAGTACTGTGGTGTGGACGGTAGTCTTCGCATTTGTTCAAGTTTGTTTTGTCAAATCAAACATGACAAGTGTCAACACACCCTTTAAAAAACCTTCTGAGCACCAGGCACTGGAAAAAGTGGCCACGTAAACAGAGAAGACATTTTCGGACGCTTGCTTTTTAAGTGAGGATTTACTTGGATTATCTTGAGTAACTGCCTGCGGGAAACAACAAACAGGGTCTGGAGGCACTGGCAAACTGACTCATGGTGAGATAACACAAAGTCTGTTATAATGTTTAAAGAAACAGGGCTGGGAAAGGAGTTGCATTTTTTTTTAAAGAATCACATTTCATCTGATTGATCACACAGTTACTGTGGATTCATCATGATTATTACAATTAATCACAATTGTAAAAATCCCTATGGTTACACTGCAGTAAGGTAAATTAATTTTAAAAAACTCACCCTCTTCTGGGTAAATTTCTGTTACAACATTGAAAGTAAGAGGTCAGTAGGTCAGACAAGGTGACCTACTGTTCACACTGCAGATGTAGGAGACATTGTACATCCCCTAAAACCACATTACATTCACACACTCTCATCACCTGAGGTGCCTCCAGTTTGGCTAAAACTCATTTCAAAGGCCAGTCTTTAAAGGCCTGAGAACAGCCTTGATGTTACAAGAGGGACAGATTTTAAAAAGGGAAGGCAAAGTGGAAGGTTGGTTATAGACACCGTTAACTGTAGTCACACCTCTTACTCTGACACAGCTACCCTGGGCACAGTGCATTAGCACATCTCACTATCACATTCACTTAGAGGAGGCTAATGAATGCTGTTGATTTAGCACTAATTGAGAGAGACGAGGCCGGCCTGTGGAAGCATCCACTTTATTAATCAGTTCATTACTCTATTAGAGTCTTTTCTTTCATTCATCTCTCCATCTGTATCTTCTAAGTACAGTGAACTGGGGGAGCATGACACAGCACGGTGTATTAGTTAGATGACAAATATCTGTGAGATCAATTCTAAAGACAGAAATGATGGGTGGAGCATGGACAATCAATAGTCCCTCTAAATCAACCTGTTTTTCTGTTCCTGAAATAGTTTTTTTTATGGATCACTCATGGGATTGGATCCCACTTTAGAGGCCCCTTTGCAGCCATTCACGTCACACACACACACATACTGTTTGTCAAGGAGCACAAAGGCAGAGGCATAAAAATAGCAGGAGCTTCCTTTGTCAGCATAAATAAGAATATAAATGCCTGAAATATGTCTTGGATGTTGTGCTTCCTCTGTAGATGCGGCAGTTATAAATCAGAAAAAAAGTGGAGATAGCGAGTGTTGTCCTTTATCAGCAGCTGCGTCCAGATAGCAGCCTCGCTTCTTTATCAGTTTCTGGCCCTCGCACCTGGCTCTCTACGGCTCCTGATCCTCCAGACAGGCACTAGCGCAGCGGACAGACATGAAGGGACAAGGATGGAGGGGAGCCTCAGTTCAAAGGCAGGAGAAGTGGGAGAATTATTTCTTGTAATATTAAAGATGTCCACTTTCATCTTATTCAAAGACGTCCACCGGCGCCAGAATTTTTCCCAGCCAAAGGAAAATATGCTCTAACACAGTGTGCGCTACATCAAAGTGTGATATCTTAAGGGCTTTTCATGCCCAGGTCAAATAAAACCAAACTTTAACAACTTCACAAAAAAAAGTTTGAAAAGCACTAAAATTATTTGTTACCTTTATAGAAAGCGGACACAATTTTTAAATTCTGACCAAATAAAGAGAGGAAGAAAAGTTTTTTTCTGTATTTCTGCACAACTCATCACTAACGTACTGTAGAATTGTGGGCATTGAATTTACACCTGTTCAGTATTAAAGTGATTTAGATTCCTACTATGTCTACGGCTCCACGTCAGAAATAATGCAGCATTAAATTTTTAAAACCTACCTGGGTCTTAAAGCTTACGTTAACATTTCACAGGTCATGGAAGTTTTACTGTCGCCCATTACTTTACTACATGCAATTACACAACGTTGAAGGTCACTGTCTAAGGCTTTTATTAAATACAAATAATATACCAATCAGGTCAAAAGCCTTTTGTTCAGCTCTAACAGTATACGTTCAAAATACAGAATGTAAAGTTTAGTTTTATTCATGTAACTATTTGGAAATGAAAAAGTATTAAAATAGTAGATTATGTAGTGCTGTAAAAAACAAGTGAATTAAGGGTCAGAAGTGTAACAAATATCCAATTATTTATTAGGACCTAGTATGCGTATGACTGCTGGTTCTCAGATTAGCAGGGGAATCTGCTTGCCATTAGGATTAGATGTGTCATTTAGTTCACAATTGCAGCTTTTGTGCTAACCTTTGTCCGTATGTTTACATAATTGAATTACAAGTACAGTATACGGTATTTGGTGTTAATGAGTCTAATAATGTTAATAAGAATACACTCTCTTCTGTGTTTAGCTGTTGGCCTTGTTTATTGTTGGCCACATGGATGGTACTTTGAGGGACTGCCGTCCTTAAAACTACAAACTACAGCGGACCTCCAGAGCTGCCATGGTGATTGTCTGACGTAGTTTCATGAACTGTTTTCGTTGTTGTGTTTCATGGCTCTGTTTATCGCTTTGGAAGTGAGTGTGTGGAACAGAGGGGGCGGGGGGTGTTGGGAGGAGAAGTAGCCTTGAAAGCATGAAGGATTGATCATTGAGGAGCAGGAAACTAAAGGCCCTGCAGCTTTACTCTGTTTGGTTGATATCCTCAGTGGGAAATGCTGAATTGTGGCCGTGGTGGGGTGGGTGCAGGGGTGGATGGATATTTCCTCAGTATTAAGCAGAAAGAAGTGGAGTGTTGTGTGTTTTTGAAGGTTGGAGAACATGGCTGGATGATAACAACTCCCCCGTCGTTGTCTGCCTGGCCAACAAACTATTAACTTTTCCCCCCTCCCACTTCCTCCGCTTCTCCTCATCTTATTTACCTCCATCTTCTTTCCTGGCTTCATTCATTACCCCCCCAGCTCTATTTTACTGTGTGTCTCTGACCACCTTCCCTCTGCAGTTACGACTCATATTTCTTAGTCAACTGTGTAAATCATTTCCTGCATCTGTGGGAGAAAATGGTGAATTTGTTATTTATTTTTTTCCTAAATAATTCCAGCACCTCTGCTCTGATGTATTTGACTAAAGCTGTACAGATGACACTTCAGTCGAAGGTGACTCTTATCACCCTGGGGGAGGGAGGGGTCTATTAACTGAGCGTACCTATACCAGCACACCTTACAAGGTCAGCTGCCAATCAAATGCAACTGAATCGTAAAGATAACTATTTTTCCAGGCCTACAGGGATGAGAATAATTTTACAGCTGGGGCCATGGTAGATTATACTTCAACACACACAAACACTGTTATGTAGGTGTGTGGTAATCTGGGGCTTCCCAAGGTTCCTGGTTTTTAGACCGAAAGTATATAGATATAGCTTATAACGATGGAAATTTTAAAAAAGTATAAACAATGAAATAATGCCACTTATGTCAAGTGCAAATAAGTCAAGATTAGGTAACAGAAAAATCTCAGTGAGCAAGTGTTGAGTCCTCAGCAATTCAGTTTGAGTCTGAATTTTAAGCTGAGTCACAACAACATCTCAGGTCTGAGGTTCAACTGCAAGTATAAGTTGCTAAAGAAATGTTTGAGTGTGAGTTTCAGAAGAGGATCAGTTTATGAGCGTAGTCATGCATTAGGTTTAGGTCAAGACTAATGATGCCCCATTGACTTTAAGTCCAAGTCCAGGCCTCTGAAAAAATGTGTACTGGTAGGGTAAAATTCAATTGGATTCCATGTAGATCTCCACGGTTTTATAGTTTAAGTTAGAATAATGAGTCAAGTCACAATTTTCAAGGCTTCAAACAAATACCTCTTACATGTGACTGTATCAGACCTTTGAGTCATTTGGAGACATGTGATGACGGTGGTATTTTTAAGTCAAAATCTCTAACCTTTTCCCCATTTTATGGAACAAATACTTACTCTGGGAGTAAGTTCAACAGCATATTCTTCATGCATGGCTTTCTCACCACATACATTTCTGCTCACCTTTAATTCATTTGCTCAGACCACGACATGACGCGAAGGGACCAGAATAAATGTCCTAGCTTTCCTCCCTCCGTGTCAGCTCCACAAACACTTACACTATATTAGTGGTGAGAAAAGCCTGTGATAACTAAGTGAGATAATAACCTAAGTCAGTCAGTTGTTATGGTGCTGAATAAAGGCGAGTAAAGCTGTGCAAACAGCCCCGAAATAGCCCACATAATCATCGCCATCATTTCTCAGCTGGCTCAAGCGTGCCGGGCCAATACCTCAACACTTTATGGCACCATTGCACTGATGGAGGCCTGTTCCTGTGGGAGCCAGGAATCATCAGTGATTGCAGACCAGCCCTCTCTGCCTCTGTTTTTATATAAAGACTATTCATTACTGCAAAAGTAACCCAGGCCAACAGACCTGCAGTGAAATGGACCAAAACTAAGTCTGGATAAATATGCAATTGATCCATTTTGTAGCACATATAGCTATGTTTTTAACAGATATGTGATGAAGAGGAGTCGATGAAGTTATTGATGGCCAATCAACTATTCCGTTAATGAAATGAAATATTTAGTTGCAAACAATTAATGGTGATCAATCATGATTAAATAATGGATCATAGATAAAAAACAAATTAGTGGTGAATCCACATTCCTAAATTTGACAAAATCTTATTTTTGTTTAATGCAGGTAGCTGTATTAGGTGAAATTAATCAGGTTCCTTTGCCCTTGTATGGAGCGTTAAAACCCCCAAATCAGAGCCACATGAAAAAGTTGATCCAAATGTTCAGCCTAAATGAGTAAAAGTAAGACTTTAACATAAAACACCACATTCTTTAGTCCAAATCAAAGCCTTAAAAAAATCAAATTGACTTTGAGTCATCCTAGATCAGTGTATGAGTCACAGACCAAGCAACATATGCGTCCATGTTAAGTTACCATGGTTTCAAAATCTGTGTTTCAACCATCAGAGAAATTAAGTATCAAAAAGAACACGTTTCATACAATAAAAGTCTGGACCCAAAGGAAACCTATTTGGACCCCGGGCTGAACTTTAGTCAAGCAAACAACCGAACCAGTCTTCCAGTCTGTGCTAAAACATATTTATAACTTCTTCTAAAACGAATCACAGTGAATCAAGCAAAGGAACTTGACCCATAAACTGTTTGTAGTCTTTGGAGAGCGATTCCAAACAAGACAAAAACTAGACAAATCCAATTTTATTGATCTCTTCACTAACTCTGCATTCTGTCTCCATCATCCATAAATACAGCACCACGGAGAACATTGCCTTTTCTTTTTTACAGTCAGGCTTCAAAATATGATTATAAGCAGAGTTGGCAGAGTTGAAGCACGGGGCTAATAACTGCTGATTCTCAGCCTGTTGTGTGTATATTTATAAGAAACATCCCCATATATCCAATCTTCTATTCCAAATACAAAGTACTGGCCCAGAAGGATGGTGGAAAGCCATTGAAGCATGTTCACTAAGATTTCAAATCTGCCTGATTGGCAGCGTGCTTGCTTAGAGAAGCTTCAGATACTTTTCACTGTAGAAACTCTGCTGCCACTGTTGTACTAATGACTGACTGATACTCTGACACTGCCAGAGCAAACCCAAGTGACTTGTGCGGCCAATTTCAGACAAGAATTTTCCATGCTTCCTTTTCTCAGGCAGAGAAATGCATCTTTACTTAAAGGTCAAAACAAGGAAACTGGATTTGTGACACTAGTGCAGCAGGAAAACTCAAGAAGACCAGGGCAACAGATGCAGAACACAACAGACAGGAGGTTGACTTCTGTCAGAATGGAAAGGTCTACGAGTTCATTCTTGAATAATGCAGCTAATGTAGCACTACTAATGAAATTAAGTTGGATTTAATTCCACAGGCTGTGATTATTCTTCTGCCAAGGATGACTCACCCTTTTCCATTGTGACTTTGATGATTATTTTTTTCACACAGTTAAAGTCGTGCTGGGTCTACAGTCGAGCCATTTGATTGGACTGTTTTTGTTCTACTTCATGTGCAAGAGAACTTAATACATGACCAAAATAAGTGACCGTGCTATGAAAGCTTGGCTTACACCATCTGTTGGACTTTTCAGTGTACAGTTATTAGCATGTCAAAAACCCGACTATTAGTGTGATATATATACTGCAAGATTTATGCTAATAAATTATTAATTAAAGAAGAGCAATGTAGAGTTAGGACTACTACAGGCACAACATAATCACTAAAAATACATGTTTTAGTGTTAGGCTAACAGGAACTTTATGACATGAACTGGACTATATCAATAATTTTACTACTTTATTTTACTATAATAAGTTAAACTAAACTACATTGATCTGTTGACCTTAAGCAGACCCTTCATTTTGGTACTAGTGTGTGCTGGTACTCACCACAGGGTCCCTTATGGTGAATATGGATGGCCTTTTGAAGTGCACAGCCCATCGCTCGCATCTCACACGGGCTGCCGTAGCTGTGGCCGTCAGATCCACACACCGGGTCGTTCGTTTGCAGACAGGCCTCTGGGCACTCGCACACCGGCTCATTGTTCTTCACCACGCACACTGCCCCGTGATCACACACCTTTTCCAAACACGGGCTGGGTACATTGAGATCTAAAGGCCGATCAACCCAAGAAATAAAGAGCAGAGTTAGACAAACCACAGTAGCTGCAACGCTGGAATAAATTAGATTAGAGGTTGGAGAAAGGTCTGAGGCTGGAAAAGGGCATCAGTGACAGGGAAGTCAGTTAAGAGATTAGCTGGACGGTGAACTGATGGTTTGTGTTAGGGGGAGGGATATAATGGAATATGCATCACAGCCCTATTCCTGTGACACCTCTGCTGCCTCAGTTTCTCCTCCTGATATATTCTGATTCTTTGAAGAGCAGGGTGAATCCTAAGGCATGGGGACAGCAGAAAAAACCATGGTCCTTTAGAAGCAGCCTTAGAACAACGGCCGCAGAGTCTGTCTTTTTTCCTTAGTAAATGAGAGGATTAATTGACGTTGCCAAAGTTCTCCTTCAAAGGCTGCTATTTGCATCTCAGTGAGCCACTGTTTCTGCAAAAACTGGTTGAACTGACATGCAGAAAAGCGAGAAGCCTAGGGAGGAGAGTAAAAAGAAAGGAAACAGCCAAAGAAAAAAAAAAGGTCCTCTGCTTAATAATTCACAAAATGCTAAGCTCCTGGGCAGAGGCAGATATGGAATTTGAACATCAGAGAGAGGTGTCTGCTTCAGCCTTTTTTATGGACTAACACCAGCTTCACTTCATTAAAACCAGAACTGGATTCTGTACCTTTGGTCCTCATTTGTGGCAGAAACTAGGATAACAAAAATACTTTGATTTAGAGTGGAACTAGGTTACACATGGTCTATAATTTGATCACAACTGTCCATCCTGACTTCATCAATGGTCTGTACTTGTATTTATCAATGGAAATAGGACGTGGCCTTAGTGGAAAACCTTGCTGGACCTCTTTTAAAAATGGAGGTTTTGACAATTTGTACAACAATGGTACACTCTCATTCAAGTCAAGAGCAAGCGACAGAAAACAGACTGGCTCCACGATGATTCTCATTTGGAAATGTTCAGGCACAAGGGAAAGATCTCTCGGCTAAATATGGTGCACATGCAGATCAAGAGAACAAAAAAGTCATCAGAGGCTTCAGATAATTTCTGAAGGAGGTTCAAAAGTCAAAGCAACTTCTTCCCTCTCTTGTCTTACTCTTCATCGACGGGGGTGGGACTGCTGTCATGGAAACTGGCCCCTGTAATGACACCACCCATGGCGCTATCATTATTGTGACCATTATAAGATTAGATTGCATCACAGGGGGTCGAGTTAGTGCGCTCAGAGCCCCATGATTCATTTATCAGTTTCAAACTATTCAGTAGTGATTCTACATAAGGCACAATGCTGGGGGTAAATTAACAACTGACAACACAGACTGAGGTAATTAGCTTGTAGTATTCTAATTACAGTGAGGGGAAATTACATAGGAGACATTAGCATCAACTTGACAACAAATATGTTAATATGAGTATTGATAAGATGTCATTTACAACAACATGAAGGGGTTACAAGGCTTTTACTGGTACTTATGGTCAAAGACTGTAAACAAGAAGTAAAACCAACTCTATGGCTATATTAAAGCAGACAAGAAAGGAGCCAATCATTTTGGTAGAAACACAAAATAATTTCTATATGTCTATCGGAAAAGTAGTTAGAACCGTAACAATCCTAAACCTCAAATATATAAATTGAGAAAACTGTCCAGAGTCAGACCTTCTGACCAGAAAGGAAGAGGTGAAAATAGGATTGGGAAGGAAAACAAATAACAAAACAAACCTGTATGCTAACCCAGAGCTATTACAACCCAACGCAGGAGGAGTCTCAAAGCTCGTGCCATGAGTGCCCCTCCCCATACAGATACAGACATCTTCTCTTAAAGCTTTATACTCATCCACAAGTACACAAACAACTGAAACGTGTTTAATTTGCACCTTGGCAAAGGTGAAAATAACAACCTAAAACTGGGTCAGGAGGTGATCTGCCATCATTGTCCAATATAACACATCTTGGCAGGCAATCAGCAGATGGAAGCTAAATATGTAATGTTTTTCACCAGTGTGTCAGAACTGATGTAGTGGAACGTCTGGGTGAAAACGTACACAAGTCAAGTTGTTTAAATCTACGCACTGGAAGATACTAAGACTTCAAATCGTCACATGAAAAACTTTATCTTAAAACAATAGATTTCTCTGTTTTACTGCCAAGCTTCTGTTTTAAATGAGCCAGATGATGGCGTATAAATACTGAAGCTGTTTATCGTTGCAGCTACATTTGGCATTGTTTCAAACAAAATTGATTCTTTCAGATCTTTCTTTTTTCTCCCAAAAAAGATCTCATGTGTGTAAATGCGCCAGTGTCTAACACTTGTAAGCTTGTGATCGTAGCTTTACTGCACAACCTTGGCCTCCGTAAAAGTTCACCAGACCACTTTCCAAAGACAGGCTTCTGAAACACAGCTGCAGTCTGTGATAACGCCTTTGTCTCTCATTCTCTTTGTTTGCTAGACATAAAAAGATGAAAGAACCCCCAAAACTATTCTTTTTTTTTTCTTTTTCCACATCTTTCCGACCTCTAGGGGTAAAATTTCTTCCTGCTATTATTAAGTGGGAAAAGTGGAGAAAGAGAAAGAAGTGAATATAGAGTTTGTATAAAAATCTTATGACACAGTTAAAAACTAAAGCTGCTTTCTTTTGGATGTTGGCAGAAGCTTTGAAATGTCAGCCTGTCACCACTAAGGCTTGTGGGACTGGGACAGTGTTCACAGAGACGTCCCAGCTCTCTTTCTGTCCTTGGTTTTCACAAAAAAGTCTATTTTCTCATGCATGTATCCATGCTGTTATCAGACAGGTACAGGATAAATTGGGAGGTTGAGGCAAAAATACTCCTATAAGGACACTTTCTTGTTTGTTGAATGGAGAGAAGTTAAAAGTTCAAGGAAAAATGAAGAAAAAAAAATCACAGATAAAATATGAACCAGTAGATTTATATTGGGCTAAGGATGCTTCAGCATCAGTTAAAAAATAGTGGGAATTTTTAAAAAAATAAATATAAAATTTTGTCTCAGTGAGCAGAAACTGTCCATGGTCTGTAATGACATGCAAATATTCTCTTATTTTAACAGCTCTGTTGCAGAAACTACAACGTTTTTGGTTCATTTCTAGCTGTCTGGCTAGCTAGCTTCAAGTAGACGTGTCCCTTTGAGAAATATATTCTGCTAACGTGTGAATGTGTGGATGTATTTTAAAAAAAAGTGGATATAGTCAGACTCATACCAGTGGTTTCATTTGTCTAAAGCCATGTGCTCACACTGACTAACCACCCACCCTCATGCTAGTTGAGGGTCAACCAGCTAGACTTGCTTTTTTTTTTTTTTTGCAAACAGAAAACCATAAAGACTGTATTTCCACTTCAGAAACAATCACCTACAACCTCAAACCAGTACAACGCAGAACTCCAGGAATAGGGGAGAAGACAACCAATCTGTGACTAGCCCCGCCCTCCGTTTCTTCACCTTAAGGGCCTTTGATCCGACTCCTGCTTCATCCCCCACACTGAAAACATTACTGTACAGTATTAGTCGAGGGAGAGGGAGGTGAAGTGAAGAGGCTACATTAGCATACAGCAAAAGGCACAGCTCTAGGCTATCTCTGTCTGCCTCTGAATACTCATGAAATGCTCAAAGGGAGTTGAAGCTACTCCGTGCATTTACAACTGAAACGGAGACAACCAAAAAATGTAAGACAAAAAAGGCGAGTCAAGCAGGGAACTCTGGTTAGTGACATGTACCTATCAGAGGTGAGCTGACATTAAAGGGCTGTTTGTCTCATCCAGTGATGTAAATCTTCTATGGTGTTGCAAAGAACAGTGATGTGATGTAGAATAAAGAAGGTGATTTTTTTAGAAACATTACATCATTAAGAAATTTAAACTTAAACTTTATATTCTGTTTCATCCTGTTTCCTATTTTATTCCAATAATCTGTTTAAATGAATTCTACCATACTATGGTTTCAAAAGTGTTGCTTCTCTTTGAACCTAAGAAAACCTTTTATTCGGTTAAGAACCAAAAGAATTAGCTCAACTAACGATGTTAAATTTGAAATAGTAGTTGAACACATTATGGGAATTTGGGGATAATGCAGCTATTTGTTTTATTAAGATGGATGAAGGCATACAGTAAGAGTAAAAAAAACAAGATTCATGAGCTGAAATCAACAGTGTGGCTCTACATCTGACCCAAAGACAAGTTCTCTGGATCAGATACAGTGTAAATGACTGTCACCTATAGTTTAGCACTTCCACAACTAGAACTTTGGTCCTTTGGTTTGAAAGAGAGACAGAAGTCTCCTCTGTGCCACTGTGATTGATATTAGTGTTTTATTTCTGCTTGGAGTTTGGTTCTCGTGATTTTGACTCCCAGTGGCTGATTGACTATTAAAAAGAAAACACCAAAAGGCAAATATATTATTAATCTGAGGCTTCATTAAGAAGAACAACTAAAAAGAAACCAGGATTATTATCAAAGATGTTAATGGGAACTGCTGCCTGAATGTTTAGTGCCCACCAGCCTAAAACACTCTCGTTGACTTGAGTCAGTTCTGACACCCTGTTGACCCACATTCCACAACGATTTCTACTCCATGACAGCTTGAGGGCTGCACTAAGTAGACCATCGGTCCCTCACTGCCGTTAGTCTGGCTCCAACAGCAATTCTTCTAATTAACTTGATTAAGAAAAGTAGCACTGATGAGCTCAAACCTCCAGTGTTAGAACTGTTTGTGAGTCCAATCACTGTAGCAGCACACAGGCAGAGATGCTCATCAAATAAACATGCAAATGATCAAATATTTCACACAGAGTCCTGGCACCTAAGGTGACTGATTTTTCCCCCTGCGTGCTTTGCAGAGCTCTTTGTCAATGACAATACCTGTATCTGATGACTGATTCTGGTTTGACCTCCGAAGGCGACACTTCTGTAGTTTCTTTTTTTTTTTTTAGCTCATGCGCTGACACATACCCTGTACGCAGCTTCGTCTGAATGT